TCAGTTAGATTCATAACTCATCTTCAGACTTTATTTCTGGTGGAAGTCCTTCTTCAGAAGTGTGAGCCATCAACTACGGATTAGTTTCGTCTTTCCTTTCTGAATCTTCATCATCTAGTTCTTCCCATGTTGCCATGAATTTATTTTTAAATTTGTTCTTAAAGTTATCCTTCTGATGACTTCCTTTCTTTTGATTGTCTTTTTGAAGATCAGGACAATCATTTTTGAAGTGGTCAGGTTTGTTGCAGTTGTAGCAGATCTTATCTTCATCTTTTTATTTGAAGTTAGATCTCCTAATGCTTTTAGAAAATATTTTGTTTCTTCTAAACATTTGTTGAAATCCTCTGATGAAGCAAGCCATATCATCATCATCACTAGATCTACCATTAGAATCTTCTTCAGAAGTATCATCATGTTTACTGATCTTTGAAAGTCTTTTGGACTTTTCACCATATTTTTCAGAAGCAGATCTCACGGAAAGAGATTTGAGTTTCTTTTAAGACTCATCTCCATTCAGTTCCATCTCATGGCTCTGAAGATTGTTGATTAAACTTTCAAGGGACAACAAATTCAGGTCTTTAGCTTCCTGAATAGTTGTTACTTTAGGTATAAACTTTAAAGGGAGATTTCTCATAATCTCTTTGACAATATCTAATGTAGAGTAACTCTTGTTTAACATTTGAAGGCCTAATACAAGAATCTGAAACCTGGAGAACATGGTTTCAATATCCTCCACGTGCTTATAATATTGTGGAGGTCATATGGCAACCCTCATGAGGTTGGTGAAGTTAAATTGTGACAGTGCTTCTATTTCCCGGTCGAGTAGGTCGACTTGTGGGGTCTTGCCAGAGATAATTATGGTTCTTTTTTGGGAGCGTCTGCATCCTTTCTTGGGGTTTCCTGTTGAATTTTCTGGTGCAATGTTAGCAATTGAATTCGCTAATGAGAATAATTGGAGAAATGTTTGGTTGGAATCAGACTCATCAGCGGTGATTAAAGCATTCTCTCCTCCGTATAGTGTCCCTTGGTCGATTAGGATTCGTTGGAATAACTGTATTTATTTAGTTTCTAAGTGGAATTTTGTTGTCTCTCATACTTTTAGAGAAGAGAATAGTTGTGCATATACCATTGCTAACTTAAGTTTATCATAGGCTGATACTTCTTATTTTATCTCTATACCTTTGTGTATTCTGGTTGATTTTGTAAAGATTATGATTGATTTATCTTTTTTAGGTTCGTCTGGTCTTAAGAGAGTTTTGGTTTGGTCCCCCTCTTTTTGTACTGCCTTTTATTTTTATTACATTTGCCTCATTAAAAAAACCATTATTTAAATTTTTTTTTATAAACAGAAGAGCCTAAACCTAACAAAAAAAACTACAACAGAATTAACCAAGAAATAACATTCCCATACAAATCACTAGCAACTTATTTTTAACTTTAGCTACATAACTTTTATAACTAAAAATGTTAAGTCAAATATAACCTTAAACAAGTAAACTAATAATATGTAAGTTATACAACAATTTTTATTGATAATATACATTATCTGAAAAATTGCTTTTTATGAAAAAGAAATTAAAACATGATTTTACTTACCATAAAAGGAAAATCTCAAGTGTTTTAACGAATGTATTGTATGACCAATATAAAGTTATTTAATATTTAGAAAGTTATTTTTATTTATCATTAAAGGAAAATCTCAAGTGTAATGCATATGTATCATTAATCAATATAAAATTATTTTATATTTAAAATATTATTTTAGTTACCATTAAAAAAAATACTCAAATGCTTAATGCATATATAATGATCCGCATAAAATTATTTTATATTAATTTAATATAATAATAATAATAATAATAAAATAAAATAATAATAATAATAATAATAATAATAATAATAATAATAATAATAATAATAATAAATTCTACATGAATGAAAGACAAACCGACAACAAATAACATGTAGCTACCTTTTTTTTAATGACAAAATCAATTCTCTTAAAAATTACATTTATTGTCGTAAAGACACAACATTGTTATGCATAAGTCTTTACATTTTTTTTGTAAAAGATTCAGTATTTATGTTGTTAGAAAATCAAAATTATCAAAGACAAATGGTATAAAAGCATGTTGATTGTTCAAAGAAACTTTTTCATGCTTGACCACTTTAATTGAAGCGACTTTGACAATTGTTTGTCCCACAATAAAACCTCGAGTCCCCCGTCTCACTAATGAAGAAACCCTACTTAAGGGTTGTTCGTACACTAAAATATTTGCTAACCCAAGTGTCATTCTTCTCTCGGCCTGTAGGTCGGTCGAAACATTCACACGTGTCTCTTACTTCGTAGATGTTCCAACCTACCGAAATATATCAAATATAATATCCTAACAAAATTATATTGGTATTTAAAATATAAAAACTTCTTAAAATAAAATAAATCCAGTCAGCAGAACATTAAAAATAAATTTTCCACAAAAGTTTAAGTGAGTTTGACTTTAAAATTAATTATAACTTTTAAAATGTCATATTATATTTAATGGTTAAATAAGAATAAATATATAATTTATTATTATAATTTTAATAATATTTTGGGATGATATAAAAACATGTACTCGTGAATATCCGTGGGGAAAATCTGTCACAATCACGAGTTGAGTAGTCTAATGGATATCCATAGATAAAATAAACGAATATTTAACTATTCATTTCTTTACGGATACAGATACAAATTTGATGATACCCATATTTGCGAGTATCAATATCCGTTAATAATTAGTAAATTATTTAAATATCTTTTTTAAAATTATTATGTTCGATAATTCTAGTTTCATACATTTTTTCCACGTCTTCTTCTTACTTTGTGTCTTCTTCAAAAGTTATACACACATACAAAGTTATTGAAAATTTATATTAAAACTCTCTCTCTCTCTCTCTCTCTCTGATGACAAAACGAGGTCGAGGGCGACCGAGAATCACAATGCCTTTGCTACCGGAGAATCATTCTCATCTGGAGTTTTAACCGAAAAAGGAGAGTGCAACTACTGAAACTAAAAACAACGAGCAAGTTCAAATTAAAAAGTGCACTAGCAATGCGACGGAAACCCTAACAGAAAGCTTGAAGGTGACAACAGAGGAACGAAAGTTATAGATTAATGTTCTAAGTGATAATCAGAATCTTGCAAAAGGTTTGGCTATAGAGTATGTTGAACCTAAGTTGGTTAATGGAGAAGTGGAAATTAAGATAGAGCAAGAAGACATCGAAACTGAAATTCAAGTTTGGAACAATGCTTTGATTCTGTATGTGATGGGGGAAGATTTGAGCATGAACACAATGAAGAATTTCATGCAGAGGAATTAGAATTTTATGAAGATTCTAGATTTATATTACCATGATGAGGAATACTTCTTGCTTCGATTCACTTCACATGAAGATAGGGATGCAATGATGATGAATGAGCCTTACAACATCAGAAACATGCCAATGTTATTGAAAGAATGGAGGTCTGATTTTAATATGAAGAAGGATCTATTGCATACACTACCAATTTGGATTAAATTGCCACAACTCCTTCTTCATTTTTGGGGAGCAAAAAGTCTAAGCAAAATTGGCAGTGCCATTGGTACCCCCTTGGTGACTGATGAATGTACAAAGGATAAACTTCGAGTTTACATGCTCGCATATTGGTTGAGGTAGATATCACTCAGCAGTTGATATAAGAGGAAACCATTAGGAATTGTGAGGGTGGTTTGATGAAGCAAGTTGTGGAGTATGAGTGGAAACCCACCTTTTGTGAGAAATGCCAAAAAATGGGACACTAATGTGGAGTCAATGCCAAAGTTCAGAGATGGAGACAAAAGTAAAAACCACCTGAAGAAGTGAAAGTATTAACTCCTACCAAGAGTCATGAGCCTGAGAGTCAAGATAATATGGAAGAAGGTGACACCTCATGGACAGTGGTAAAGAAAGCTGCTAGGGATAAATACAAAGGTATACTTTCTGGATTTACATCTGGTGTTAACTGTAATAATGGATTTGAGGCATGACTGTGTCATGGAACATGAACATTAGGGGGCTTAATAAAATAGGTAAGCTTAGGGAGATTAGCTCCCGTCTCATAGAGCTTAAGCATGCAATTGTCATTTTGGTTGAAACTAAAGTTAAGAAGAGTAAAGCCAAAGTTATCAGGGAGAAACTTCATTTGACTGATAACTTCCTGGACAACTATAAAGATCATGAGAATGGTATAATTTGGATTGGCTGGGATAATAATAGAGTTGATATCAAGTTCATGTAGAGTTCTAGTCAATGTATTCATTGTGGAGTGTATGATGCTACTGGTGGGTTTAAACAATGGTTGACAACTATGTATGCTCATAATCAGTTGAACAGAAGAATAATCCTTTGGAAGGAGTTAAAGCACCTTCATGGGAACCTTCAAGGCCCTTGGTGTGTGCTTGAAGATTTCAATAATATAGTTAAGGCTCAATATCATATTGGAGGAAAATTGGTAACTAAAAATGAATATGAAAATATGCAAAGTATGATGGCTTCTACTGGGTTAAGTGAGATGGACAACATAAGAGATTACTTTACATGGTCGAATAAACATGAAGTTGGGACCACTTATTCTAAAATTGACAGGCTATTGGGCAACATTGAGTGCTTCCAAGATAATTTGGATTCCACATTGAATATCCTTCCCCCAACATATCTGATCATGCCTTACTCTATGATGCCAGTAAGAATGGTAACAGGAAGATCACTAAACACTTCAGGTTCAATAATTGTTTGGTGGATTTACCTGGCTTTTTGGATGTTATCAAGCACAACTGGGATTAACCTACCAGAGTAGGCCCATGTATGTTCTTTGGAAAAAACTCAAGAGACTTTAACCTGAGTTGAGAAGGTTTAGTAGGCCCCTATCCAATGTGAAGGAGAATCTGGTGAAAGCTACAAGAATTTCAAAAAGGCTCAGAATGACCTAATAATTAACAGAATGGACAAACAAATCTTTAATAAGGTGAAGATATACATAGAGGAAGTTATTTATCTTAATGAGATTGAGGAGAAGATCCTTAGGAAGAGGGATAAACTTGATTGGCTTAGGATGGGGGATGAAAGAAATGCTTTTTTTTTCCATGCCTCCATAAAAGCTAAGCAAAACGCCAAAAGTTTGAATCATCTTATAAAAGCTGATGGCTCCACCATCCGAACTCACCACGAGATTGAAAGAGAAATTATGGAGTTCTATGGGCAGTTGATGGGGAAGTTGGATAACAATATCACCCATATAGACATTGAGGCTATGATAATGGGGAATCAATTGAGCATAAAGCAAAGAGAACAACTGGTCAGGAGCATATCTGAGCAAGATATCACTAAAGCTTTGAAAGGTATGGGTGATCTAAAATCCCCAGGTATTGATGACTATGAAGCTAGATTCTTTAAAGCCAACTGACCTGTTATTAAATTTGATGTGATTGTTGTTGTTAAGGAGTTTTTTTGAAACATGTGCCATTTATAAAGCATTCAATAGTATTGTGATAATTTTGATTCCAAAAGGTAACACAGCTAGGCAGATAAAAGACTGTAGACCTATAGTTGACTGCACTACTTTCTACAAGATCATTGCTAGGATCTTGACTTATGTGCTGTAGGGGGGGTCTTGCAAAGTGTTATCAGCCACTGCCAAGCTATGTAACGCCCCGATTCTGAATTCCCATTATTGGTTGAGTCTTTTAATTTATTTAATTGATGTTTGTTTTAAATTGAGAAATTATATATTATTATGTGGTGTTTGCTTATTTTATCTATTTTTACCGATTCAGAGAGTTTTCGGGGAATTAGAGTAAAAAGGGCATTTTAGACATTTAGCACTTTAGTGTGAGAATTGATTGGTAAGTGTTGGAAAGAATTTGAGAGAAAAGAAATAGAGATAGAAATAGAATAAGAGAGGAAAAAGGAAGAAGATAGGAACATAAGAAGAAAAACAAGAGAAAGAAAAGAGGAGAAGAGAAAGAGAAGAGAAAGTGGAGAGGAAAACCTAGAATCATCAAGGGATCATCACCAAAGCTTGCAATCGATCGGTAAGGGTGTGAAACTCCATCATCTCTTTAATGTGTATGATTGTATGTGTATGTGTGTGGATTTTGTAGAGTTTCTACTCTTTTTCCACTTAGGTTAGAAGTTGGTTTTGTGAGTAGAATGAGGTTTTAATCGGTTAGAACTCGGATTAGACGATGTAGTTTAGTCGGGTGATGGTTGGGTTGTGCTACTGTGACTGGTTTGGATTTAATCGGTTGGTTGTGTGGAGTTTGGGCTTTGAGACAGCCATGGAAGTTCTGTCTTCGCAAGTTCGCCAGGCGAAAGGCAGCGAAGCTTCGCCAGGCGAAGCCCAGCGAACTGTAGCGAAGCAAGTCAGAAGCTAATACCCTGTATTCGCTGGCAAGTTCGCCAGGCGAGGTGAGTTGGCGAAGGTTCGCCAGGCGAATGGGTAGCGAGCCTCAGCGAGTAATTCCAGAATTACTCCCAGTGGACTTCGCTGGGGAGTTCGCCAGGCGAAGGCCAGCGAGCATTCGCTGCGTGGCTTCGCCAGGCGAAGGTTGGCGAACCTGGCAGTGTTATTTGTTTTGCTGTTTGTTCATGGCATGATGTTTGGTTGATTCAATTATGATTAATGCCTATATGAATGATTGATGTGTGAACTGTTTCAACATGTTGTGCTGTGGGTGGCCGAAAGGCATGAATCCTAGATTGTGGAGCCGATTGTGAATCTTAATCGTTTGATAATGTTGTGCGTTTGTTCGAATTAGATAGAAATGCATTGATGGATTAATAGGTATGTAAACCTTGTGTGAAATGGTGTATAATGTGAATGCATAATGAATATATGTGATGTATGTGATAAATGCAATGAGTATGTTTGTGAACATAGTATGCATTTTTGTGATTGATCCCGTGGAGGATTTGTAGAACCTCGTATGATACGATGGTTATATTCGATTCCGTGGAGAATCGGTTGCATTGTGTGATTCCTCGGAGAATCGGTCATAACATGTAATCCCGTGGAGGATTGGTTAGAGTATTTGATTCCGTGGAGAATCTGCTGAGTACTTGATCCCGTGGAGGATCTGCTGAATATTCGATTCCATGGAGAATCTGATGAATATTTGATTCCATGGAGAATCTGCTGAGTACTTGATCCCGTGGAGGATCTGCTGAATACTCGATTCCTTAGGGAATTTGTTGAATGAGTCGGTACCGCATTTGCATCTGCATAGAGTCGTGTGTCGGTCTCTATGAGTTGCATGAGTCATCTGTGTATGATGCATTGGTTGTGTGAATATAACTGTGTATGTTTTATGTGATTGTTTGGAGAAAATATAGTGAATGTTCATGTGTATGTGTAGAGACATGATTATTTGTATATGTTTAACGTGGTGAGAACATAATTTGAGTATAACTTGTACAAATGTGAGTATATGTATATATACAATTTTATGCATTAACTGTTATGATGTTGTTTCTCACCCTTCTGCTGTTTTCTAATGCTCTATGAGGCATTGCAGAGTAGGAAGCTGGAGGTTCTTTTTGTGAAGCGATGTCTTCATTCTTTTTGGTCAATGACTCTGATATGTAACATCTGGGTAGTTAGGAAGCCTTTGACTCTTTTGGAGTCACCTTTGTTTTGATTCTTTTGTGATGCATATGTGTATGTATCTGCTGTGGATATGTTGTAAAGCATGAATTAACTGATGGTTGTATATAAGTTTATGAATGTGATCGATTCAATATTTGGATGTTTCCGCTTTATTCTAAATATTGTGATGTGGGTTACCCATTGTTGCATATCTATTTTGAGCAGGTATCATATGTGTTTAATTTCATGATAATGTGATGCGCCTCTTTTATACCATGTTTTAATCAAACTCTGATGAAATAAATTTTCTATGTGCCTAATTGATTTATCTAATTTATTTGGGGTATAGAAAGGGGGTGTTACATTAAGTGGTATCAGAGCCAGTGTTGAGTCAGTCGTGTCTGTCTTGTTGTTGTGTTGGTTGAACGGTTGTTTAACCTTGTTGTTATTTTTGGGAATCCTCAGAATATGGCAGGTCGTAATGACAATGCTATGGCAGCGGCGTTAGAGGCTATGGCCAGAGCTGTGCAGGGTGCACCTAACGTGAATGCGAATGATGAGTTCAGGAAGAACCAACCACCAGTGTTCAAAGGGAGATTTGATCCGGATGGTGCTCAGATATGGTTAAAGGAAATTGAGAGAATTTTTAGGGTGATGGATTGTGCTGAAGGGAATAAGGTGAGACTAGGGACTCACATGCTGAGAGAAGAGGCCGATGACTGGTGGGTCAGCATGAGGCAAGTTCTTGAGATCGACGACGAGGAGATTACGTGGGATTTATTTCATACTGAGTTTCTAAGGAAGTATTATCCCGAAAGTGTTAAAGGGAAGAGAGAAATGGAATTTCTGGAGTTGAAACAAGGTAATATGTCGGTGGTGGACTACACCGCTAAGTTTACTGAGTTAGTGAAGTTTCACCCTCACTATGATGCGGTTACGGCGGAATTTTCCAAATGTATCAAGTATGAGAATGGCTTGCGTCCGGAGATAAAGCAAGCGGTGGGTTATCAAAGGATACGAAGATTTTCGGATTTGACCGAGTGTTGTAGAATTTATGAAGAAGATAGTAGAGCTCGTTCTACTCATTATAAGGGTTTGAGCGAGAGGAGAGGGAAGCAGCAAGTACGAAGCGGACCTTATGTGACGCCTGCTGAGAAGGGCAAACATAGGGGAAACTTTGATAGGAGACCCGGAGGAGGTTCCGGTGCGATCAAATGTTTTAAGTGTGGCGTGATGGGCCACAAGTCTTATGATTGTGGAAAGTTCAAGGCGAAGTGTTCCAACTGTGGACTCTTTGGTCATGATGCAGCAGAGTGTAGAAAGAATGCTGTGAAGTGTTTTAATTGTGGCGAGGTGGGTCACATTAGCTCGAATTGTACCAAACCGAAGCAAGCTCAGGCGGGCGGAAAAGTATTCGCATTAGCAGGTTCAGACGCTACTAATGCGGCGGATCGTTTGATTAAAGGTACATGCTTTATTAATGATATGCCTTTAGTTGCTATTATTGATACTGGAGCGACTCACTCGTTCATTTCTCTTGCGTGTGCTAAGCGGTTGGATTTGTGTATGGTTTCTTTGGGTAGTGGTATGGTTATTGGGACTCCCGCTTCGGGGTCGGTAACTACTTCTTTGGTGTGTGCAAGTTGTCATTTGACCATGTATGGTAAGGACTTCGTTATGGATTTAGTGTGTTTACCGTTGGAAGGTTTGGACGTAATCTTGGGTATGAACTGGTTGCAATTTAATAGAGTTCATCTGGATTGCTATCACAAGTTAGTAAGGTTTCCTTCTTTGGAAGATGGTGAAAACGGGAGTTTTCTTTCCACTAAAGAGTTGAAGAAACTTTTAGCGGACGAAGCTCAGTTGTTTGGTTTGTTTGCATCGTTGTCGGTGGAGAGCAAAGTTGAGTTCGACGTGTTTCCTGTGGTTTGTGAATTTCCTGAAGTGTTTCCAGAAGATGTTGCGGATGTGCCGCCAAAGAGAGAGGTTGAATTTTCTATTGATCTAGTTCCGGGTACTAGACCGATTTCGATGGCCCCGTATAGGATGTCGGCATCGGAGTTGGTGGAATTGAAGAAGCAGTTGAATGATTTGTTGGATAAGAGATTTGTAAGACCAAGTGTTTCTCCTTGGGGTGCGCCGGTATTGTTGGTAAAGAAGAAGGATGGTAGTATGCGATTGTGTATTGATTATCGGCAGTTGAATAAGGTGACAATTAAGAACAAGTATCCGCTTCCAAGAATTGATGATTTGATGGATCAATTGGTTGGAGCCCGTGTTTTTAGTAAGATTGATTTAAGATCCGGTTATCACCAGATTCGGGTTAAGGAAGAAGATATTTCGAAGACGGCTTTTAGAACAAGATATGGTCACTATGAGTATATGGTGATGCCATTCGGAGTTTCTAATGCGCCAGGTGTTTTCATGGAATATATGAACCGTATCTTCCACGAGCAGTTGGATCGTTTTGTGGTGGTGTTTATCGATGACATTCTGATTTATTCTAAGTCTCGTGTGGAGCACGAAGAACATTTAAGGATTGTGTTGCGGATTTTGAAAGAGAAAAAGTTGTACGCAAAGTTGTCTAAGTGTGAGTTTTGGTTGTCGAAGGTGAGTTTTCTTGGACATATTATTTCCGGCAATGGTATTAGTGTGGATCCATCCAAGATCGATGCGGTAATGCAATGGGAGACTCCAAGACCGGTTACGGAAATTCGAAGCTTTTTGGGCTTGGCCGGTTACTACCAGAGGTTTATCGAAGGATTTTCAAAGTTAGCACTTCCGTTAACGCAGTTGTCTTGTAAAGGAAAGGCTTTTAT